GGACTCAGCAGGATGGACAGGATTAGAAATGAGTCCATCAGAGGGACAGCTCAGAGTCAGAGAGGCTGAGAGGGTTTGGACATGTGCAGAGGAGGAGGGATGCTGAGGATGCCAGGCAGGAGGAGAAGAGGAAGACCACAGAGAACATTCATGGATGCAGCAAAGGAGAAGATGCAGAGGGTCGGTGTGACAGGAGGATGTGCGACCCCCGAGGGTCTAAAAAATGAAGCTGATGCTAAAGTACCGTTTATACAAGCTTTCTGGAGTGTTTTTGAAGACGAAGATCTCCCTTGCTGTGTGCTCGGGTGGATGAACTTCATCAGTATTTAATTAGCGTGTTGCTTGGCACCAATTAGCAGGTTTGTGTCGGACGTCCATATGAACTGTTAGAGCGCCACCTCTCATTCAGATACGGTAACGTTCAAAAAACCAACATGGTGGCGTCCAAATCAGTGGGTGACGTTTACATAAGTGATGTCAAAACATGACAAACATGCACCGGTGCAAACTAAAGAGCAGGTAATGGTGACTGACTGCTCTCTGGTTTTTGCTAAATAAACTTTTTTTGTGTTTTTGTTTTAAAAAGCGTATATTGTTGTAAAGAGGCTTCACTCATGCAGAGGGAAATAAAGTGTTGAGCAGCTCTCCCGTTTCCATTAGATGGAGGGAAAATGCTGAGCAGTACAGCAGCCATGAATCACGGCTGAGTGTTTGAGGCGAGCTATTGTCCTCGGGCTCATAACTCCTCGACTGGAAACCCACAGGCATTAAGCAAGACGACTTCTGTACCCAGGGAGAAACAAAAAAGCAAAGGCCGAGCCATTTGGAGTACACAAAGATCTTTTTTCTAAGGCAAAGTAAAAATGATTTAAGACTCTGTTGTTTCCTCTGGTAATCAGTATCGTTCTACACCGACGGCTTCATCCAAATTGGGTTTCTTATAGACGAGTGGCAAGAGGCGCATTTCACTTCTGCTAGGATTGGGCAATAAAACAACAACAGCCCCCTAAATAAAAAAAAATACAGCTTCCCTTTTAAAAGAGAGAATTTTCAGGCTTTAAGCTTTAAATATTCTACAGTCAAGTGATTTTTACTGGGAGTGAAATGAAGACAGTCACCGGATCTATAAAGAAGGTCCAAATGTCCGTGTGGTGATAAACTCAAATAAGGAAGACGTCAGTCGTGTTTAAAGGTTACAAACCTCTAAAGTCAGACTGTCGTTCTCATTCTCGAGTCAAATGACTGCACAGGACACTTTAATCTTCATAGCAGCGCTATAAGATGTGGTAAAGCTGTTTTCTCTGCATTTGGCATCACAGTTACAAATTTCACCTGTGTCTGCTCGAGTAGAGCCAAATCCAGGGTTCCTGCATCATGTCAAAAGTCTAAATGGATGCAAATCCCCACAAAAACAAAGAACAGCACAGATTTCTGTGCCAAAGCCTGAAGCTACAGTTACACTAAAGGAAAGAGTGGTTGCAGTCGTCGCTACGACCAAAATCACTGCAATCGTAATGATCTTGCAGTCTTGTTTCTTTTAAATGGGAGCAGAACACAACAACAACACAAAGCTGGTCTGCAGCCTTTCTGTAAAAATAATGCAATAAATGTAACAGGGGGGGAAAAAAAATCAGTGAAAAACACAAATCTGTTGCCATAATCATCTCTGAGGCTACGTCCACATGCACACAGGTATTCTTTTATGCATTCGGGGTTTTCATCCGCACATAAACAGCGTTTTGGGTCATTTAAATGGAGATTTTCAAAAATTCAGTTTTGGCGTTCAGGTGTGGACGAGGAAAACTGAGATT